CATGTTGGAAATGATCATGGACCAGAGTTTACACATGGTAAGACCAGACGTACATGTGGGAAATGACCATGGACCAGAGTTTACACATGGTAAGACCAGACGTACATGTAGGAAATGATCATGGACCAGAGTTTACACATGGTAAGACCAGACGTACATGTAGGAAATGACCATGGATCAGAGTTTACACATGGTAAGACCAGACGTACATGTAGGAAATGATCATGGACCAGAGTTTACACATGGTAAGACCAGACGTACATGTAGGAAATGATCATGGACCAGAGTTTACACATGGTAAGACCAGACGTACATGTGGGAAATGACCATGGACCAGAGTTTACACATGGTAAGACCAGACGTACAAACGGAGCCTGGTCTCGGAAAGACTCTACAAAGCCGTCGATTTGCCAACAACAGATCAGAGATGTCCAATGTCAACACATGTTCATATCTCAGAATCAGAATCAGAATCAGGTTCAGGATCCTTTTATTGCCATGTGAGTAACAGGAAGTCGCAAAATAGAAAATGTCTTTGGCTCTCGGTGCAAACAAGTTAAAGCAGAATAAAATCAAAGAGGCATAAGTAAAAATATACACATTTCTTCAGTTTAATATATACAAGTGCACACAATAGACTGTTAAGAGTGCGGTAAAGTGACAGTTACATAAAGTGAATGTCATAAGGTCAGAGGTCAAGGGTGGATTATAAAGTGTTCAAGAGTGCAACAGCAGAGGGGAAGAAACTGTTCTTATGGCGGGAGGTTCTAGTCCTGATGGACCGTGGTCTCCTTCCCGAGGAGAGAGGTTAGACCCCCTCCTTAGACCAGGGGTGTCCAAACATTATAGTAAGAGCCCAGACTAGTCCAGGAGCCGACATCTTGACTGTTATCGGGCTGTTCTGAGCTTTAAAATGATCTATAACAGAGCTGAAGTTGGCTGAATGACACATGTTTACCATCTCACAAGCTACAGTAGCAACGTTAATGAAAGTGACACAATCAAAAACCACATCCGTTTAGTATGTAAAAATAAAATAACAACTGAATTTGAGGCGTACATGGCTTTAGAAGAAGGACTATAGTGGCTGAGCTGAAGTTGGATGGATGACACAGCGAACACAGAAGACTACTTTCGGTTAGCAAGTAAGAGGACCACATAAAATGACAATGAGGGCAGCGATTAGCCCCCGGGCCTGCGTTTGGACATGTCTGGGTTAGACCTTCCTGCATCGGCAACAAACCACTCCACACAAAAACATATAAAAGGGAAAATGCAGATGTTTGTTTGTTTTTCTGGTGTTTTCTGAACCATTAAACCGCCATCTGAGGCCCGGCGAGGTTTCTGGAGGTTCTTTTGAAGCCGAGAGGACCGTTCTTCAGACTCAAGAGGCCACTGAGACCTGCACTTATTCAACGTCAGGAATCAGAGCCGAGCCCGAAAGGCAAAAGATGCAAAGGTCTCCGAGGGCCATTAACGGCTCGTGACGAAGTGGGTCTGAGTGGGTCCCGGTGAGTCCCAGTGGGTCCCAGCGGGTCCCAGCTGGAGCCACGTTTTACCAATCTGCGACAATGACACTCCACAAAGCAAAGAAAAAGCAAGAGCTAAAACGTTTCTCTTTAGGCGAGTACAGAGAAAAAGACAGAAGAAGACACGGCCGGAGCAGGTGGGAAAGAGAGTAGTGACATTAGGGCTGTATTCTGACCCAGACCAGGAGAATTTAGGTTTGATTATTTATTTAGATCCTGCACAACACACACATGGAGGTTTGTGTGTATGTAGTGGGGCTGTCTATCCATTTGTATGATTTTATAAGGCAAAATAGATAGATACTGTAGATACTTTATTGATCCCTGGAGGAGAAGACCTCCAGTGAGAGACCAGAGAGAGACCAGAGAGAGACCAGAGAGAGACCAGAGAAAGACCAGAGAGAGACCAGAGAGAGACCAGTGAGAGACCAGAGAGAGACCAGAGCAAGACCAGAGAGAGACCAGAGAGAGACCAGAGAGAGACCAGTGAGAGACCAGAGAGAGACCAGAGAGAGACCAGAGAGAGACCAGAGAGAGGCCGGAGAGAGACCAGAGATAGACCAGAGAGAGGCCAGAGAGAGACCAGAGAGAGAGAGCAGAGAGAGAGCAGAGAGAGACCAGAGAGAGACCAGAGAGAGACCAGTGAGAGACCAGAGAGAGGCCAGAGAGAGACCAGAGAGAGAGAGCAGAGAGAGACCAGAGAGAGACCAGAGAGAGACATTCTGACGAGATTCTCCAACGGGACATCATTTAGTTATATTTCATGAACATTTCTGTATCTTTTAACAACAGGATCATTTTGTTTTTTCCTGTTGGAGAATCTCGTTTTTAGGCTCAGTCAGAATGTCCTCAGAGTAAGACACATTTTACAAACTTTGAGCCATTTTTGACTTCTTTTTCTTCACTTTTTGCAGCATAAACCCATCAATGTTAAGTTTGTAAATTTGCAAAATGGGTTAAAAAATGTCTCAGGGTTTAACAAGCACAGAACAAATGAGAAAAGACATGACACTGATTCTATGGTTTTACTTCTAACTTTATAGAATTGCAGTTTGTTGTATCGTTGGCTACTTCCTGGTGCGGGTTGAGGCAGAACGGTGCAAAAACTGCGGCTTTGGACCGTCGCCAAGTGTGGCACAAACAGAGACTAATGACGAGCACCGATCTAATTGGCTCGTGTTAGCGTGCGGCGTGCGGAAATTCAATCAAAGCTGTAGCTCTCTGTGTCGGGCCGGGGCGGCGGTAATTGGTGAGAGGTCGAGGGCGTGACATCACAGGGCAATCCCTGAGTCTCTCATGATGATCTAAGAGCTGGGCCCAGAGAGATTACACATGTTTCATTTAATATTCTATCATGTTTAATTGACTTTAAAATGACTGTGTATATCGAGATGTCCTTCTGCTTCCACTTTGGGCATAAATATTGAGAGTGGCCAACGGATTCTGCACAAGAAGTGGTGGAAAATAATTATAAAAATGGCTGAAATTCTGCAAAATGTGTCTTCATTTGAGCAAATTTTGGACTCTATTAGATCAGAGAGAGAGCAGAGAGACCAGAGAGAACGACCAGAGGGAGAGAGCAGAGAAACCAGAGAGAGACCAGGGAGTGAGACCAGAAAGAGAGACTAGAGAGAGAGAGCAAAGAGAGACAAGAGAGAGGCCAGAGAGAGAGCAGAGAAACCAGAGAGAGACCAGAGAGAGAGACCAGAGGAAGAGCAAAGAGAGACCATAAAGAGACCAGAGCGAGAAAGAGACCAGAGAGAGACCATAAAGAGATCAGATAGAGACCAGAGAGAGAGATGAGAGAGAGACTATAAAGAGACCAGAGAGAGACCAGAGCGAAGTTTTCAGAATGTGTCAGATTAAGATAAAAACGACTCGATTCAATCAAATATGACCCAATTTTATCTTTTTTTGCAGTGCATGTGTTTGTTATTATTGCATTTCTTGTGTTTCAAATGTTGGATTCTCTTTGTGAAGTCCTGCTGCTGTGATTCAGGGCTGTGCACAAACAGACTGATTTATTGATTGAATTCAAGATTCAGGATTCAAGAATTTATTTGCCATTTACAGTAAATCCATATTGGAAAAACTGTGCAAGACTACCCAAGTGTGCACCAGAAAACCTCATGCTGTCTGTTTGGTCCCTGTGCTCCTCAGAGTCCCAGCAGGAGGCCAGTCCCTGTGCTCCTCAGAGTCCCAGCAGGAGGCCAGTCCCTGTACTCCTCAGAGTCCCAGCAGGAGGCCAGTCCCTGTGTCCCTCAGAGTCCCAGCAGGAGGCTAGTCCCTGTGCTCCTCAGAGTCCCAGCAGGAGGCTAGTCCCTGTGCTCCTCAGAGTCCCAGCAGGAGGCCAGTCCCTGTGCTCCTCAGAGTCCCAGCAGGAGGCCAGTCCCTGTGTCCCTCAGAGTCCCAGCAGGAGGCCAGTCCCTGTGCTCCTCAGAGTCCCAGCAGGAGGCCAGTCCCTGTGTCCCTCAGAGTCCCAGCAGGAGGCCAGTCCCTGTGTCCCTCAGAGTCCCAGCAGGAGGCCAGTCCCTGTGCTCCTCAGTGCCAGCAGGAGGCCAGTCCCTGTGCTCCTCAGAGTCCCAGCAGGAGGCCAGTCCCTGTGCTCCTCAGAGTCCCAGTTGGTTCATATGACACTTAGTATACAAACAAAAGACACAGGGACTCGCCGTAAACTGCCCACATATGCCCACACACACTGACCACTGGCCCCCACTGGCCCTCACTGTCCCCCACTGTCCCCCACTGTCCCCCACTGGCCCCCACTGCGGCCCTCGGGCACAGACACGTGTTACGCACAGACAAGTGGAGGAGGGGGCGTTTAAGAGCGCGCAGAGAGGATCCATCCACAACACACTCAAGACACGCCTTCAGAGAAACTCCCCTTTCAGCACCCTGGACAGAGACACACACACACACCACACAAACGCACACACGCACACACATACACACACACACACACACACACACACACACACACAGACACACACACACACACACATGCACATACACACACACCACACACACACACACACAGAGACACACACACACCACACAAACAAACACACCCACACACACACGCGCACACACATGCACACACACACACACACACACACACACACACAGACACACACACACATACACACTTACACACACATGCGTCAGACTTGAGCATCCGGAGCTGGCCCTGTCCCTCCCTCCCTCACCCCCTCCCTCCCTCACTCGGTCAGAGAGACGGGGGAAGAGTGGTCAGTTTGCTTCGTCCTCCTGGATCATAACAACCTGATGCATTTCCGAAGCACTCTGAGGTTCGCTTTGAACAACACGCCGTAACCGAAAGGATAAAAACACCAACAACGAGAAAGAAAAAAAAAGAGAGAGAGAGAGAGAGAGCGAGAGAGAGAAAAAGACGCATTTGAATTTTTTTTAATACTTTTTCTTCTTCAACACTCGCTGAACCAGAGCGGAGAGATGTTGCTGGAACACCCGGGGTCAAGCTGTCAGAGCAACGGAAACTTCTCCAGATACGCTGCAGGCCAAGGTGAGACTTCTGTGTTTGTTAGATGTGTGTGTGTCTGAGGTAGATTTTACTTCAGTTCAATTCAATTCCATTCATTTTTGTATAGCGCTAAAAACACTATAGATATATAAGCTGTCGATTCACCAACACAGATCAGAGAATCAAAAAGTTCAAACACAAGAAATGCAATGAAAAAAAACATATATTGGTCCATAACATAAAGGGCCAATGTCCGTAAACGTTACAGTAAAAATGTGGGAAGAAAGCTTAAAAATATGATCAGTTTAGTTCATTTATATTATTATATTTTGACCCAAAAATAAAAATAAATTCCTCTCGGCTCAGGACCAATAAAACAGCGTATTTCCAATTCTATTTCAATTCCTATCCATTTGCCTGAAATTGCTGTCAATTAATGTCATAAATATGTATAATAAAAATAGGAGTGAAAATGTAAGACTTTATGGAGAAATGTACCAGTAAAATGCAAGTATAGGAACAATTACCGAGTAGCAAAGATTAAAAATACACACTTATGTGCAAGTGTGTGTGGGCTGATACAGCGGGGTTCGGCGGTTCTGTTTGGGGGGACCGGGTCTGGTCTCTGGTCTCTGGTATCTCTGGTCTCTGGTCAGTTTTGTGCGTGACGCGTGGACAGAGAGACGTTATGAATCCGTAATGAGCTTTCATTGTTGAGGGAATCGCACCAACAGATGTTATCCGCGTGCTGTCATTTCACACCGCCGCTTGTGGTTGTCACGGGAGAAGGGCTCGGGCCTGAACGCGCGCGCCCACACACACAGATACGCACGTGCACGAGGGGAAGAAGCCCCTTATGGACGCTATGGGTTCCTCCCCCGTCCCTCTATAACAGACAGACACGGAGCCTGAACAACCACAGTCACTTTCCGACTTTCAGACAATATTTTACAACTTTTATTTAAATTAACAGATGTAATTTACTGATGTATTCTGTTTTTTATAGTTTTAAATGCACACACGTGGTTCTGACACGACCCTGCACAATATATATTGGTATGGATGTAGTTTGGTCTCTTTGTTATTGTTTTTTTATATGATTTGTAATTGTTTTCTCAGTGAGCTTTCCTGTGTGTGTGTGTGTGTGTATGTGTGTGTACGTGCGTGCGTGAGCGTGCGTGTGTGTGTGTGTATGAAAAGAGAATGAGGAAGCATACTGTATGTGTGTGTGTTGTCTCAATTGAATATAAAAATATGTAAATAATATAAAAAAAGACCCCGGAAGTATAGCAAAATAATAGCACTAATTGGATCTTAATTAACTAAACTAAACTAAACTATGCAATACCCCGCGTGTAACACATGAGGGATTGTAAACACTAATATTTATTCGGACATATCTCGGACCAAAGTCACACACAACGCGCTACAACGTTTTGAAGCGACATCATTCTTTCTCTTCGCTCCCGAGCCGTGACTGAGTGGTTATCGCCATTCTTGCTTCTCAGAGACACGGCACCAACCGAGCGTCAGAAGATGGAGATGGGCCCCCGCGCGCTTTAATACTGATCTAACCCTAACCGCTCTGTGGAGGCCCCAACTTAACCATTCATCATTCACTGTGTCATTACAAATTTCATTACATGACATTAAAATCACGTCAATGTATTTTTGTATCGCCCTAAATCACAACAGTAGTTATCACGGCGGTCTTTAAGCTGTCAATTTGCCAACAACAAATTAGAAAAACAAACAATTCAAACACAAGAAACGCAATGATAAAAAATTAAAAAAATACAGAGAAATCTGTCCAGACGCATTGAGACCTATACTGTATATGTGTTTGTAAAGTCTAGGGGAAACCGGAGCACACGGAGGACATCGAAAAACACATACATGGGGAGAACATGCAAACTCCCCCCAGCAGCACAGAGAGAAAGGCCCCGTCTGCACTTGACTATATTGCATATTCTTGCCTAAAACCTTGACGTGGTCGTACTTTATTAGCAACAAACCCATTCAGATGTGTTTGTGGTGATACAGGGGAAACCGGAGCAGACGGAGGAAACCCACACACAAACCAGACACGGGGAGAACCAGCACAGAAAGAATGACCCCGTACTTGGCATCCTATATTCTGTATATTCTTGCCTATAACTTTGACGTTACTTAGATTTTAGCGACAGACGCATTTAGATGTGTTTGTGAGGGGAACCGGAGCATACAGAGGAAACCTTTACAGACCAGACTCAGGGAAAACCATTACAGAGAGAAAGACCCCGTACTTGGCATCTTTCTCTGTATATGCCTATAACCTTGACGTGTAGATTTGAGCGAGAGGCGTTCAGACTTACGTATTTATAGTGGCATATAAGGACAACCGGAGCAGACGGAGGAAACCTGTACACAGGCCAGACACGGGGAGAACCAGCACAGAGAGAAAACCCCCGTCCTGGCCTCCTGGCTGCATACTCTTGCCTATAAATTTGACGTTGTTAGATTTGAGCGACAACCCCGGTCTGTGAAGTGAAATCTCGATACTGCTCATAAATGGTGATGAGACAGTTTAAAAAAGAGAGGATCCATGAACCCTGAGCTTTCCCCGAAACGCCTCCTGTAATGTACTGCGGAGCGGAGCATTGATTTCAGATCCATCTCGTGCGCGCGCCAGGTCTCGGGCTCGTGCTCGTGCCACTAAACGTGATTTCCCCAGACGCTCTTTTGTGCCACGCATCTGTGTCAATAACATTCATTGGGTGTTGGCCCCGATCTACACGTTATTGAACACCCGAGATCTGCCTGAACAAACACTGGAGGAGTCTGTGCGAGACTTTAGAGGACGAGACTTTAGGACGAGATCTGCCACTCTGCAAGGGGCCGCGCGAGGCGTCCACGTGGGATACGCAGTCTCAATTCAGCACTCATAATATACACGATTATTATTATTATTATTATTATCATTGTCATTCATATTATTATCATTATCATTATTATTATTATTATAGTTATATACATTTACTGTTGTTAAATGCATAAGATCTTTGAAAACATGTGACTTAAGATAATTTCCTTTTTTGAGCGAAGGAAGAAACAATTTTTAATGAATCAAAAATGTATGTTTAAAAAATACTACTCCTCCTGATGCTACTGCAACTATTTCTGAACGATTCGAAACTATAGATGTTTAAAATAATACAAATACTTATACTACACCTGTTACTACTAGTATGTTGCACAATTCTGAACTAATTGCATTTGGTATATATTTAAATAATACTAATGCTAATACTACTACTACTACTAATAATAATAATAATAATAATAATAATAATAATAATAATAATGATGATATAATAATAATAATAATAATAATAATAATAATGAAAATAAAAAATAATAATGATATAAATAATAATAATAATAATAATAATAATAATAATAATAATAATAATAATAATAATAATAATAATAATAATAATAATAATAATAAGCTAGTTTCCCGTGCCTTTCCCGTGTTGCTGCTGTATAAAGAACAGGCCTGTTTCCGGTCAGGGCCCTGAACTTATTCTACTTTTATGTCAACAGAAAATGTCCACAGAGATATATCATATATTCGTGTACAGATTGGAAGCCGCTGATATGATGCGCTCGTGCAGTGATGTATTGTAAACATGAGCGCGAGGCAAGTTGATCAGAATAGTTCGTGCCCGAGGCAAAATGACACACTGATAAAATAACAAATACTCAGTGTTAATCTGCATTTAAAAAGTGTATAGGTGTTAAAAAAATGTATCATTATTATTATTATCATTATTAATACAAAATCACGTGTGTGTATGTAACTGAAGTCTGAACCAAATAAAACATTAAAAACAAACACAGATTCCAGTATCGCTCTAAAAGTCTCGGAGGACGTCACAAAGTTGTCGATTCCTCAGATCAGAGAATAACACCGTTATAACAACAAACACATAAAGAGGAGACATTGGTCCAGAGGGAGCGGGATGTGCAGAAATGATGGAGCAGCAGAGAGTGGGGGAAAAGTGAGAACAAAAATCAGAGAGGCCCATATCTGCTCTCACAGACTAATCCAGGACTGAGGCTGTAGATCCAGGACTGAGGCTGTAGACCCAGGACTGAGGCTGTAGACCCAGCACTGAGGCTGTAGACCCAGGACTGAGGCTGTAGACCCAGGACTGAGGCTGTAGACCCAGGACTGAGGCTGTAGACCCAGGACTGAGGCTGTAGACCCAGGACTGAGGCTGTTGACCAGGACTGAGGCTGTAGATCCAGGACTAAGGCTGTAGACACAGGACTGAGGCTGTAGACCCAGGACTGAGGCTGTAGACCCAGGACTGAGGCTGTAGACCCAGGACTGAGGCTGTAGATCCAGGACTGAGGCTGTAGACCCAGGACTGAGGCTGTAGACCCAGGACTGAGGCTGTAGATCCAGGACTGAGGCTGTAGACCCAGGACTGAGGCTGTAGACCAGGACTGAGGCTGTAGATCCAGGACTGAGGCTGTAGACCCAGGACTGAGGCTGTAGACCCAGGACTGAGGCTGTAGACCCATGGACAGAGGCTGTAGACCCAGGACTGAGGCTGTAGATCCAGGACTGAGGCTGTAGACCCAGGACTGAGGCTGTAGACCCAGGACTGAGGCTGTAGATCCAGGACTGAGGCTGTAGACCCAGGACTGAGGCTGTAGACCAGGACTGAGGCTGTAGATCCAGGACTGAGGCTGTAGACCCAGGACTGAGGCTGTAGATCCAGGACTGAGGCTGTAGACCCAGGACTGAGGCTGTAGACCCAGGACTGAGGCTGTAGACCCAGGACTGAGGCTGTAGACCCAGGACTGAGGCTGTAGAACGAGGAGATACGATCATTCAAAAGCCTACATTAAAAAGAGAATAAGTATAAAATCACAGAATACACGGAAGGCAAATCTTTTCCATTAATTCTGCGACCTCAAAAACGCAGTGTGTACAGCCTTGTCCTCTGCGTTTCTCTGCAAAAAAGAGACAATTTGGCTAAAATGTATCTTCATTTGATGCCCATTCTGATTGCATTAAAACAAGATTTGTTTTAAAAATATTCATGTTTCCCTTGGAATGAGAAAATAAAGACTTAAAAGACTAAAATACTTTGTCCCATTGGAGAATCCGGTTTTAACACAGTCAGAATGAACTCATATTAAGGTAAAAAACCACTCGATTCAAGCAAATATTACCTCATATTTGATCATTTGCGGTGTGTATTCTTCCGCGGGTATAAAGTTAATTAATTATCTGTCCGTTACTGGGGAAACGCAGCTCGTAGTCCGCGTTAGGCTCAAGTGTGGTCGGGTCCAGTGTGGCCTCTGCTGACAAGGAGCATCCGGGAAGATGTGCAACACACAGGCTCAAGAGAGGGCACGGACCTCCCGCAAAGAGACCGACACAGGTCCTTGTTGCCACTGACAAAAAACATAACAAAAAACAAAACCATTTGATCCATTTTTACCGTGTTTTATTCCCGTCCTTTTAAGCCTGTTCTGTTTATGTCTTGTCTGCTGCACACTGGGGACTTCTGCACATGTGTTCCAATGTGGTTTTACTGCAAATGACGAATAAACAGAATCGGAATCGGAGGTTTAATGTCCTATGCTTTGTTGGCGCGAGGATTCATTTTGACGCGCGCGAACGCCAAGCACCGCTGATCGCTAAGTTGATCTGTTTTGAGTTGAAAGACATATAAATCTATGCTTCGTACACGCATATATTTCTCTGTTGTGCCTCATATTTTTAGTCTATTTTATATACGTTTTTTATCATTTCTATACTTGTGCTTTACATAATATCCCTAATTCTCTTGTACTGTGTGCTTCTCATTCTGATTTTTAACTTGTGATGCAAAACTGAAATTTCCCCGCAGTGTGACAAATACAGAATCTCTTCATCTTTAATCTCAAAATGCAAAGAACTGCGTTAAATGGTTTCGTTTTATACGTTATTCCATCCAAGGCTCGCGCGCAGCCTTTTCACGCACGGAACCATCACGGACGTCCCATTGTAATTTTTATATGTTCAATAAAGTAAATAAAAAAACATAAACAGAATCTGGACCAAAACAAACGCTGTCTGCTCGTTGCGTTTGGGAAGAATATGGAAAAAGGCGTCTACAGCGGGTCGTAAATTACCCATGATCCTTTGAGCACCTGCTGTGGCCGCGGCTCCTGCTCTAGATGCCGCAGAATTGAAATACTGCATTAATTGTTGATGGTTCGATCCCAGAGAAAACAATGGCGCAGGTGCAGAACGAAGTGCAACAGTCGCGTTATGTAGGTCCATTAATTAGTGATAAATGAGTCTAATGTGACCGAAGCTTTGGCTGTGCGCGCTGCGTGCATGTGTTGGTGCTTTTTCTGTTTCCCAGGAAGTGGCGTGTCACGTATTCAATCATGTTGTAGGATTATAACATTAAAATACAACTTTATTCGTGCCTCTATTTAATCCACAAAATGTCATTGTGTCGTTGCGCACGTGGGGTGGGTGTCTACACGTTTTACTATGTCCTTGTCCATTTTAAAATGACAAATTATAGTAATAAATATAGGTGCTGTTGTAAATAGCGATAGGTGGTGATACTATGGCATGTACTCCTGCGTAATTGTGTATATTAATGTGTATATATGTATTTGCATGTGTTTGTGTGAGTGCTGTAGGCAGAAGACCATTGTACAAAACTAAATATAGAAGTAAATATTAAAAACATTGAATTTAAATGAATTGATTGAATACTTTATTTTGAGCCACACAAAATGATAACATTCTGTAACATTCTTACATCAGCAACAAATGAAAAACAAACAAAACAAAGAGGTACAGGGAGGATCTGTTACATGTATTTATGGGGGAAAAGATTATAAATTAATGTATAATTTCTGCTCCAATGAATAAAAATCAATAAATCACGTGACAGCAGAATGGAAGGAGAAAGAGCACTCGGGTCAGGCACACATCAAACAACAACTGGTGTTAAGATTATAATGTAGTAATAAAATAATAAAATAATAGGATAACTGTGATCTACGGGATGCGTCAGACGCACGAGGCCAAAGCGTCAAAATAACGTCAAATGCACGTGCAGAATGTTGCTGTAGAAAGAGAGAGAGAGTGTGTGTGTGTGTGTGTGTGTGTGTGTGTTAGTGTGCGTGTGTGTGTTTGTGCGCGCGCAGGTGCGTGTCTGTGTGTGTGTGTATTGTGAAGTAATCGATGTAAATGTGTGTGTGTGTCAATGCTGTCGTGTGTGTTGTTGAAGCGTCTATAGCACAGTTCATGCACAAGGTAACTCAACTCAACTTGTAGTGTAAGTAATGTGTGTGTGTGTGTGTGTGTGTGTGTGTGTGTGTGTGTGTGGGTGTGTGTGTGTGTGGGCGTGTGTGTGTGTGTGTGTGTGTGTGTGTGTGTGTGTGTGTGTGTGTGGCAGACTTGGAGATTCTTATCCATGCATTTGTCGCTGATGTTAGTCTACAACTCTCTCTGTTTTTCTCTGTCTCTCTCTCTCTCTCTCTCTCTCTCTCTCTCTCTCTCTCTCTCTCTCTCTCTCTGTGTATATGTATCTATATTTATTACTTTGTTATGGTTGCTATGTTGTTGTTATGGTTACTATGCTGTTGTTATGGTTATTATGTTGTTATATTGGTAACTATATTGTTGTTATGGTTACTATGCTGTTGTTATGGTAACTATATTGTCGTTTTGGTTACTATGTTGTTGTTATGGTAACTATGTTGTTGTTATGGTTACTATGCTGTTGTTATGGTTACTAAGCTGTTGTTATGGTTACTATGCTGTTGTTATGGTTACTATGCTATTGTTATGGTTACTATGTTGTTGTTATGGTTACTATGCTGTTGTTATGGTTACTATGCTGTTGTTATGGTTACTATGCTGTTGTTATGGTTACTATGCTGTTGTTATGGTTACTATGCTGTTGTTTTGGTTACTATGCTGTTGTTATGGTTACTACTATGGTTGTGTGTGTATCTTGCACAGTTTTTCCAATGTGGTTTTTATTGCAGATGGCAAATATATTCTTGAATTTGACTTGAATCTTACGGTTACTATAACGACCGTCCCTGTGCTCCTCAGAGATCCCTGTGTGCGCGGGCTGCAGTTTGCACATCGTGGACCGCTTCATCCTCAAAGTGCTGGACCGACACTGGCACAGCAAGTGCCTAAAGTGCTGCGACTGTCAGGAGCAACTCACCGACAAGTGCTTCAGCCGCGGAGACAGTGTGTACTGCAAGGACGACTTCTTCAAGTGAGTCCAGGACCGGACCCATCCGTAGCATGCTAGGGCTAGGGATGTTGTACTAGCTTCTTTGTTATGCTAAAGCTAGGGATGTTATACTATTTAATTGCAGACTGATAGTTTAATGATTACTTCCTTAACTTCTAATTTCATGTTAACATTTTAGAACAGATTCAATCTTATGGTGGTTTTCCTGATGTTTCCTAAGTATAACAGGCCATTGCTTAAAATAATGATCATTGAAAATCATTTCAGGGGCCTCTGAATTTGGTCTCTTGGGCCAGATTTGGCCCTAGGGCCTGAGTTTCACATGTCTGCAATAACATAATAAAGAAGCTAGTATAAAATCTCTAACTTTAGCATGATAAAGAAGCAGGTCTAACATGTCTACATGTAGCATCCCCAGAGTCTTTAGAATGTAATGAGGGCTGTTTCGTTGTTTTGAAGGAGATTCGGGACCAAGTGCGCGGCGTGCCATCAGGGCATCCCGCCCACGCAGGTGGTGAGGCGAGCGCAGGACTTTGTTTATCACCTTCACTGTTTCGCCTGCGTCGTCTGCAAACGACAGTTAGCAACAGGCGACGAGTACTACCTGATGGAGGACAGTCGCCTCGTGTGCAAAGCGGACTACGAGACGGCCAAGCAGCGAGGTGAGACGCTAAGCCATTTGTATCGACCTAAATCACAGAAGTAGTTTTCACTGAGGACTGTAGACCCAGGACTGAGGCTGGAGACCCAGGACTGAGGCTGTAGACCCAGGACTGAGGCTAAAGACCCAGGACTGAGGCTGTAGACCCAGGACTGAGGCTAAAGACCCAGGACTGAGGCTGTAGACCCAGGACTGAGGCTAAAGATCCAGGACTGAGGCTGTAGACCCATCCAGGACTGTAAACTCTGAGTCTGATCCTAGTGGCTGCAGTTTCCTCGGTTGAATCTCCTCCGACCAATCAGAGAGCGGGGGAGGCGGGTGTTGTAGGTCGGTGTCGGTGACGTCAAGAGTTTGTGCTGAATTTGCTGGTTGTAGTTTGTCGGAAAATGCGATAGTAAAATAATCTGTTCTGGTTCAATCCAAATATCAAGAAACTGAAGCCGGAGCAAGAGGAATGTTTAATACATGTCATTATGCTAAGATGTTGTGGCTCTTTTCCCACCTCTGCACCTTCTCCATCGACTCCCACTGATGACTGCTGTCGTTGTGTCCTTGGGCAAGACACTTAACCCCACTTTGCCCAAAGCCCCCGCTGAAAGATCAAGGCTATGCTCACACTCAGAGCAGCCGTCCTCCTGTGGACTCACCACCTGCAGAGAGTCAGTGAGGGGCTGGTGCTATGAGACTTGGGTGGCATCTCTGACTGCCACCCCCCTGACCCAGAAATGGATTAAAGGGTAGAAAATGGATGGATGGATGGGTTGTGGCTCTACTCCCCACGGGCTCCGTTAGTGACAAAGGAGATGGCTAAAACTATGCTAAATGCTAAAGCTAAATGCTAAATGCCTCACTCACTTCGTGACGGTAAACTCAGATCCAATCGTTTCAATCTGTAAAAGGAGTTAGCCTTAGTACAAAATGAAATGAGTACTATGGTCTGGTAAGACTGGGTTAAGTGGTAATCACGAAAAAACGGTCTCTCCACAACATCCCAATGATAAACCGCGGCCTCAGAGCCTCCTGCATCAGCAAAAAAAACAACTCACCGTCAGATTTATGCCGCAGTTACTTACGCCGCAACTTTTCACCCAAAACACACAGTTTATTTTACTAATGCACGTCTGCGGTTACAAGGGCAGGCTGCGGGTTGACCACGGTCCGAGCGTTTTCGCCGCTCCTCTCCCAGACACGGTGGTTTATAGTCTGCGGAGATGGGAGATTATAAATGTTTACGACGCCAGGGAAAGTCACCTCGTGCCAAATTGCGTGTTTGCATTACACACCGAGGCTTGTAAGCGGACATTGACCCCCGGCATCTTTCATGTGTACAGAGGCAGACTCCACGGCCAAACGACCCCGGACCACCATCACGGCCAAACAGCTGGAGACGCTGAAAAACGCCTACAATAACTCGCCCAAACCGGCTCGCCACGTTCGGGAGCAGCTGTCGTCGGAGACCGGTCTGGACATGCGCGTCGTACAGGTGACAAATATGACCTTACTATGGAGAGAGGAAATGGTGGTTTATTTTGACCTGTTTTGACCATTTTTGATGTATTTTTGTTGCCTTGTTGTTTGGGGTTTACTTCCTGTCTGTCCATGATTGGCTGCTGCTCCCTACACTGCAAAAAAATGATGAATAATAAGTCAAAAATTGCTCAAATTTGGCAAAATGCGTCTTAATTTGAGCACATTCTGACTGAGCCTTTAAACAAGATTTTCCAATGGGACAAAACAAATGTCTCCCTTGGACTTGGAATGAGAAAATACAGAAACAATACTTAAAATAAGTCTAAATGTCTTTGTCCCATTGGAGAATCTTGTTTTAACAGAGTCTCAATGTGTCAGATTAAGATAAAAACCACTCATTTCAAGCAAACATTACCTCATATTTTATCATTTTTTGCAGTGTGATGCGTTACACCTGTGTTTCTCTTTGTGTATTTACACCAGACCTGAGCAAACTGTGGCCCAAGGTCCACATCCGGCCCAATTCACATTTCCATGCGGCCGTTAACCTCAAAACAGTCTGTTGTTTATTTTAATAAATCAGGAGTCATTTCCCGGTGACGGCTTTTAAGAAAAAATATTATTATCATTTCTTTAATCTTTAATAAATGTACAGATAATTTAACAAGAAAACTTAGCAAAAATTGAATTAAAAAAAACCCCATTACATTTCCATGGTAACTTGAGCGTTGGAATTAAAAGCCCCCTCCCACCCCAGAGGCTTGTATGTAATATGTGCGATGGCATGTCACACAGTTATTCTGTTCTCAGTAATAATCTGTTCATTAATACATATTTTTTTGCTTAATTAAATTAGATTTGAACCCAGTGAAAAAGGCATCTCAATGTTTCATGAAGATAACATCTGCTCAAACCTGATTTAGATTCTCTGTATTTAGACCCATTCATTTCTTAAATCAAGGTTTTTTTTTTCTTTTTTTATCTTAATCCGTCACATTCTGTCTAAAACACGATTCTTCAATGGAACAAAGACAACAACAACAACAACAAAAAATTCAGCATTTTTTGACTTTACTTTTTAGCTTGACTTTTCATTTCTCCGTCGTGTTTCCGGCTCCTTCCTTTTCCGTCTCTCTCTGATAATTGGAGCGATGAGCTGCAATCCCATTTGTGTCTCCCTCATTATGCAGCGAGTCTGAATTTATGTCGGAGGATGGAGTCCAGGAAGTTTAAGTGTTTGGTCGTTAACGGTTTAAAAGCCTCTCCCATGGTCCGGCTCTGATGGTACAGACGCTGCTGCTGGTCCCCCATATATATTCTTTTATCCCCAAGGACAAAACTGTTTATGGTCTCCTTGGTCAGAGAGATACAATGGGAAAATACAGTGGGAGAGTACAATGGGAGAGATACAGTGGGAGAGTACAATGAGAGAGTACAATGGGAGAGATACAGTGGGAGAGTACAATGGGAGAGATACAGTGGGAGAGTACAATGGGAGAGTACAGTGGGAGAGTACAGTAGGAGAGTACAATGAGAGAGTACAATGGGAGAGTACAATGGGAGAGATACAGTGGGAGAGTACAATGAGAGAGTACAATGGGAGAGATACAGTGGGAGAGTACAATGGGAGAGATACAGTGGGAGAGTACAATGGGAAAGTACAGTGGGAGAGTACAGTGGGAGAGTACAATGAGAGAGTACAATGGGAGAGATACAGTGGGAGAGTACAATGAGAGAGTACAGTGGGAGAGTACAATGAGAGAGTACAATGGGAGAGATACAGTGGGAGAGTACAATGAGAGAGTACAATGGGAGAGTACAATGAGAGAGTACAATGGGAGAGATACAGTGGGAGAGTACAATGGGAGAGATACAGTGGGAGAGGACAATGAGAGAGTACAATGGGAAAGTACAGTGGGAGAGTACAGTAGGAGAGTACAATGAGAGAGTACAATGAGAGAGTACAATGGGAGAGAAGGGTTTCTCCCAAAGATGGAAAAATATGATGTCTTTGTGTTTCATTATTGTGGATTTGTTTTTTGTATTTATAGAACATAAAACAACATTATGTGTGTGTCTGTCTCTCTGTCTGTCTGTCTATGTGTGTGTGTGTGTGTGTGTGTGTGTCTGTCTCTCTGTCTGTCTGTCTGTCTCCGTGTGTCTGTCTCTCTATCTGTATGTATGTCTGCGTGTGTCTATTTGTCTGTCTGTCTGTGTGTGTGTGTCTGTTTGTCTGTCTGTCTGTGTGTGTGTGTGTGTGTGTGTGTGTGTGTGTGTGTGTCTGTTTGTCTGTCTGTCTATGTGTGTCTGTCTCTCTATCTGTATGTACTGTTTGTGTGTGTCTATTTGTCTGTCTGTCTGTCTGTGTGTGCGTGTGTGTGTGTGTCTGTCTGTCTGACTGTCTATCTGTCTATGTGTGTCTGTCTCTCTATCTGTATGTACTGTCTGTGTGTGTCTATTTGTCTGTCTGTCTGACTGTCTGTCTGTGTGTGTGTGTGTGTCTGTCACAAAAAAGCAAAATCAATAATAACAGCAAAAATAAAGCAATAAACATAAAAAACCAACAAAACAGAAACAAAATAATGCGACATCACCCTTTAAACTATGTCTCTGACGCCACAACAACAAACCTGAACCAGTGACGTCACAACAAACTGCATTTATAACAAAAACATGAACTTTGACTGTTTCCTTCAGGTTTGGTTCCAGAACAGACGAGCGAAGGAGAAGCGTCTGAAGAAAGACGCCGGACGACAGCGATGGGGCCAGTACTTCAGGAACATGAAGAGGTCTCGAGGAAGCTCCAAGTCTGACAAGGACAGTATCCAGGAGGAGACCATGGACAGCGACGCCGAGGTCTCCTTCTCTGGTACGACTGCTTTATCTACTACTCACTTTGATTCATACATTTATGTGACGGGGACGAGGAAGAGCGAGAATAACAGAAACTCAATAAAAACAATATATTTACTTTGGATTTATTTGTGTGTTTGTTATTTTTTATTTGAATCGTTAATAAAATAAAATTAAATGTATTTATGTTTTGTTTGGTTTTTTTAGGTTTTAATTTGAAACATTTTTATTTTAATTTTTTTAACTATTGTTTTTTTAATTTTTTTATTTATGTATTTATTTAAGTTAAAACAAACTATGGTGGAGTGCTGGCCATAGCTGCACGCTAAGGCCAGATCCTGTCAGACCTCTGCTGCTAAGCAGGGAAGGGCCTAGTTATTGCTGTGATGGGAAACCTCTGGGAACACAAGGTGCCACAGTGCAGGGGCTATGGCCGTAAAGTGCCAAACTGTGATTGTGTCCTTAGGCAAGACATTTCACCCAAATTACAACGAGTCTGGTGTGTTTGTGATCGGTTGGTGTTGATGGGAGGGGCCGATGGCACAGGGCAGCTGTGGCTACAATAGTAGTTTATCACCACTGTGTTTGGAGTGAAATGATAATGACTTGAATTTTGATGCATTTATTATTATATTTAGAGTAATGTAATATATTATATTACTATTACTATTACTATTATATATATATATACAGTATAATAGTAATATAGTGGGCTGGTAAAAACGAGGTTCCTGATTGGTCCGTTTGATGCTAGCATGCTAACAGACCTCTTGTGGTTTTTGCAGACGAACCCGCTCTGTCAGAACTGGGCCACTCCAACGGCCTCTACAGCAGCCTGAGCGAGACGTCTCCCGCCATGACAGGTCGCCCCGGCAACAACAACAACAACCACAACAACCACTTCTCCCTGGACCCCGGCGTGATCCAGACCCAGGACCAGTTCCAGGACCTCCGCTCCAGCAGCCCCTACGGCCTGCCTCAGTCGCCCAGGCACCAGCCCCTCATCACCAGCCTCGGCTACACGGACCCCACCCTCTCCATCGTGGCGCCCGGCTCGAACGCTGGGATCAATAACAGAGTAACCATGGGAACGGGACCCGGTTCGGACCTGTCCACCGGCAGCAGCGGCGGATACCCGGACTTTCCCGCTAGTCCCGCCTCCTGGTTGGACGAGGTGGATCACGGACAGTTTTGATTGGTTCCAAGACAAAGACAATTTATTTTTATCTATTCTTTAGGTTTTTGTTTTTTCAAATTCAGACTTTTGGACATTTGCAGTAAAACCACATTGGAATACATGAACGAGAGTTCCCAGACAAGAACCAAACACTGTAAAAAATGATAAAATATGAGGTAATGATTGCTTGAATAGAGTTTTTATCTTAATTTGAGCAATTTTTTACTTGTTTTTCATCACTTTTTGCAGTGAAATAAAAAAAGCTAAAAAAAAAAAAATAGAGCAAATAATCCTCACTGTGATATTTTGTTTTAATTTATCAACTTTTGGAATTTTTTTCGGATGAATATTATAAATTATTGTGCCCTTTTTGACCCCCTTTCCTTTGGATAAGGTCTGGATTAATTTATAACAAAGAATAGCACTTGGACTGAAAACCTGGAGTTTCAAATGTAATAAGATTTGGGGAACTTTTTGGAGGACGGACTTGTCGCTTGTTGTCGTGGCGATGTGATGAACTTCCCTTCTGTGTGTCTCGTCTCGTTTTTCTCTTTCCTTTCTCTCTCTCTCTCTCACGTTTGGAGTAATTCAATGTTCATTCGTTGCCAAATGTCTATAAATATAGCTATTTATCATTGTGAAAGTTTTATTTTTATACTTATTCCTTCTCAGACAACAAAAAACAGTCTTTCTACATCGGTGACCAGGGACCGGAAAACACCAGGAGGTCGTTTGTTCTATGTTTTGAACTGTTCTATGCATTTGTGTTTCTTTTGTTTTTGGTCACACTTTGGTCAAATCCACGTTAACCGTTGCCATGGCAGCGGAGGGTCTGACGTAGATGTTTGTTGCCTGAAAAATATTGTGGTATTTATTCTTATTGATGATTGTTTCTGAAATCTTGGCTCAAGGGTTTAAATAAATTTGAATTAATTAAAGTTTTTCTTGAGTTTCTGTTTGATGCCGTTTTTGGCAGATTGTTTAATTTTATTTTTTTTGTCTTCTTGGAGGATTTTAGTGTAGAAAAGAGTCGAGTCGAGCAGAGTGGAGCAGGGTAGAGTAGAGTAGAGTAGAGTAGAGCAGAGCAGAGTAGAGTAGAGTAGAGCAGAGCAGAGTAGAGCAGAGCAGAGCAGAGTAGCGTAGAGTAGAGTAGAGTAGATTAGAGTGGAGTGGAGTGGAGTAGAGCAGAGCAGAGTAGAGTAGAGTAGAGCAGAGCAGAGTAGAGCAGAGCAGAGCAGAGTAGAGTAGAGTAGAGCAGAGCAGAGTAGAGCAGAGCAGAGTAGAGTAGAGCAGAGCAGAGCAGAATAGAGTAGAGTAGAGTAGTGCAGAGCAGAGTAGAGTAGAGTAGAGTAGAGTAGAGTAGAGCAGAGTAGAGTAGTGCAGAGCAGAGTAGAGTAGAGTAGATTAGAGTAGAGTGGAGTGGAGTGGAGTAGAGCAGAGCAGAGCAGAGCAGAGCAGAGTAGAGTAGTGCAGAGCAGAGTAGAGCAGAGTAGAGTAGAGCAGAGCAGAGTAGAGTAGAGTAGAGCAGAGTAGAGTAGAGCAGAGTAGAGTAGAGTAGAGTAGTGCAGAGCAGAGCAGAGCAGAGCAGAGTAGAATAGAGCAGAGCAGAGTAGAGCAGAGTAGAGCAGAGCAGAGTAGAGTAGAGTAGAGTAGAGCAGAGCAGAGCAGAGCAGAGTAGAGTAGAGTAGAGTAGAGTAGAGCAGAGGAGATTAGAGCAGAGTAGAGCAGAGCAGAGTAGAGCAGAGTAGAGCAGAGCAGAGTAGAGTAGAGTAGAGAGTAGAGCAGAGCAGTGCAGAGCAGAGCAGAGTAGAGTAGAGCAGAGCAGAGCAGAGTAGAGTAGAGTAGAGTAGAGTAGAGCAGAGCAGAGTAGAGTAGAGTAGAGCAGAGTAGAGTAGAGCAGAGCAGAGTAGAGTAGAGTAGAGTAGAGTAGAGCAGAGCAGAGTAGAGTAGAGTAGAGCAGAGTAGAGCAGAGTAGAGTAGTGCAGAGCAGAGTAGAGCAGAGTAGAGTAGAGTAGAGGAGTGAGTAGAGCAGAGAGAGTAGAGTAGAGTAGAGAGAGAGTAGAGTAGAGCAGAGTAGAGCAGAGCAGAGTAGAGTAGAGCAGAGTAGAGCAGAGCAGAGTAGAGTAGAGTAGAGTAGTGCAGAGCAGAGCAGAGCAGAGCAGAGTAGAGTAGAGCAGAGCAGAGTAGAGCAGAGCAGAGCAGAGCAGAGCAGAGTAGAGTAGAGTAGAGTAGAGCAGAGTAGAGCAGAGCAGAGTAGAGTAGAGTAGAGAGAGCAGAGCAGAGCAGAGCAGAGCAGAGTAGAGTAGAGTAGAGCAGAGCAGAGCAGAGCAGAGCAGAGCAGAGCAGAGCAGAGCAGAGCAGAGCAGAGAGAGAGTAGAGTAGAGTAGAGCAGAGCAGAGCAGAGCAGAGCAGAGAGAGTAGAGTAGAGTAGAGTAGGAGTAGAGTAGAGTAGAGTAGAGTAGAGTAGAGTAGAGCAGAGCAGAGCAGAGCAGAGAGTAGAGAGAGAGAGCAGAGCAGAGCAGAGCAGAGCAGAGTAGAGTAGAGTAGAGTAGAGGAGAGCAGAGTAGAGTAGAGTAGAGTAGAGTAGAGTAGAGAGTAGAGTAGAGTAGAGTAGAGTAGAGAGAGAGCAGAGCAGAGCAGAGCAGAGCAGAGTAGAGTAGAGTAGAGTAGAGCAGAGCAGAGTAGAGCAGAGCAGAGTAGAGTAGAGTAGAGTAGAGTAGAGTAGAGCAGAGCAGAGAGAGTAGAGTAGAGTAGAGTAGAGTAGAGCAGAGTAGAGTAGAGTAAGAGAAGGCAGAGCAGAGCAGAGCAGAGTAGAGTAGAGCAGAGCAGAGCGAGCAGAGCAGAGCAGAGCAGAGTAGAGTAGAGTAGAGCGAGCGAGAGAGTAGAGTAGAGTAGAGAGTAGAGTAGAGTGAAGAGTAGAGCAGAGTAGAGGGAGCAGAGAGAGTAGAGTAGAGAGAGCAGAGCAGAGTAGAGTAGAGCAGAGTAGAGTAGAGTAGAGTAGAGCAGAGCAGAGTAGAGTAGAGTAGAGTAGAGTAGAGTAGAGCAGAGCAGAGTAGAGTAGAGTAGAGCAGAGTAGAGCAGAGCAGAGTAGAGTAGAGTAGAGTAGTGCAGAGCAGAGCAGAGCAGAGTAGAGTAGAGTAGAGCAGAGCAGAGCAGAGCAGAGCAGAGTAGAGTAGAGTAGAGTAGAGCAGAGCAGAGCAGAGTAGAGTAGAGCAGAGTAGAGTAGTGCAGAGCAGAGTAGAGTAGAGTGGAGTAGAGTAGAGTAGAGTAGAGCAGAGCAGAGTAGAGCAGAGCAGAGTAGAGTAGAGTAGAGCAGAGCAGAGCAGAGTAGAGTAGAGTAGTGCAGAGCAGAGCAGAGCGAGAGTAGAGTAGAGTAGAGTAGAGTAGAGTAGAGCAGAGCAGAGTAGAGTAGAGTAGAGCAGAGTAGAGCAGAGCAGAGTAGAGTAGAGAGAGAGAGCAGAGCAGAGCAGAGTAGAGTAGAGTAGAGTAGAGCAGAGCAGAGCAGAGCAGAGTAGAGTAGAGAGAGTAGAGTAAGAGAGTAGAGTAGAGTAGAGTAGAGTAGAGTAGAGAGAGTAGAGTAGAGTAGAGAGTGAGTAGAGAGTAGAGAGAGTAGAGAGAGAGAGAGAGAGTAGAGTAGAGTAGAGAGAGAGTAGAGAGAGTAGAGTAGAGTAGAGTAGAGTAGAGCAGAGCAGAGTAGAGTAGAGTAGAGCAGAGCAGAGCAGAGAGAGTAGAGTAGAGTAAGAGGCAGAGCAGAGTAGAGAGAGTAGAGTAGAGTAGAGAGAGCAGAGCAGAGCAGAGTAGAGAGAGTAGAGTAGAGCAGAGCAGAGCAGAGTAGAGTAGAGAGAGAGAGCAGAGAGAGCAGAGCAGAGCAGAGTAGAGTAGAGTAGAGAGGCAGAGCAGAGCAGAGTAGAGTAGAGTAGAGTAGAGTAGAGCAGAGTAGAGAGCAAGAGTAGAGTAGAGTAGTAGTAGAGAGAGCAGAGCAGAGTAAGAGAGAGAGAGAGAGTAGAGTAGAGTAGAGTAGAGCAGAGTAGAGTAGAGTAGAGAGTAGAGAGAGAGAGAGAGAGCAGAGTAGAGTAGAGTAGAGAGAGTAGAGTAGAGTAGAGTAGAGTAGAGCAGAGTAGAGAGAGTAGAGTAGAGTAGAGTAGAGTAGAGTAGAGCAGAGTAGAGTAGAGTAGAGTAGAGTAGAGTAGAGAGAGCAGAGAGAGTAGAGTAGAGTAGAGTAGAGCAGAGAGAGAGAGAGCAGAGCAGAGTAGAGTAGAGTAGAGTAGAGAGAGAGCAGAGTAGAGTAGAGTAGAGTAGAGTAGAGTAGAGCAGAGCAGAGTAGAGTAGAGTAGAGTAGAGCAGAGCAGAGCAGAGCAGAGTAGAGTAGAGTAGAGTAGTGCAGAGCAGAGCAGAGCAGAGTAGAGTAGAGTAGAGCAGAGCAGAGCAGAGTAGAGTAGAGTAGAGTAGAGTAGAGTAGAGCAGAGCAGAGTAGAGTAGAGTAGAGTAGAGCAGAGCAGAGCAGAGCAGAGTAGAGTAGAGTAGAGTAGTGCAGAGCAGAGCAGAGTAGAGTAGAGTAGAGTAGAGTAGAGTAGAGTAGAGTAGAGTAGAGCAGAGCAGAGTAGAGTAGAGTAGAGCAGAGTAGAGCAGAGCAGAGTAGAGTAGAGTAGAGTAGTGCAGAGCAGAGCAGAGCAGAGTAGAGTAGAGTAGAGTAGAGCAGAGCAGAGCAGAGCAGAGTAGAGTAGAGTAGAGTAGAGCAGAGCAGAGCAGAGTAGAGTAGAGTAGAGTAGAGTAGAGCAGAGCAGAGCAGAGCAGAGCAGAGCAGAGCAGAGTAGAGTAGAGTAGAGCAGAGCAGAGCAGAGTAGAGTAGAGTAGAGCAGAGTAGAGCAGAGCAGAGCAGAGTAGAGTAGAGCAGAGCAGAGCAGAGCAGAGTAGAGTAGAGTAGAGTAGAGTAGTGCAGAGCAGAGCAGAGCAGAGTAGAGTAGAGTAGAGTAGAGTAGAGCAGAGCAGAGTAGAGTAGAGTAGAGCAGAGTAGAGCA